TTTGGTTTGCAAGTATTTTGTTGAGTATTTTTGCAACAATGTTCATAAGGGAGATTGGGCTGAAATTCTCTTTCTTTGTTAGGTCTTTGTGAGGTTTAGGTATCAAGGTGACTGTGGCTTCATAAAATGAGTTTGGTAGTGTTCCTTCTGTTTCTATTTTGTGGAATAGTTTGAAGAGAACTAGAGTTAGCTCTTCTTTGAAGGTCTGGTAGAATTCTGCACTGAAACCATCTGGTCCTGGGCTTTTTTTGGATGGGAGAGTTTTGATGACCGCTTCTATTTCCTTAGGGGATATAGGACTATTTAATTGATTTACCTGGTCTTGATTCAGCTGTGGTAAGTGGAATCAGTCAAGAAAATTGTCCATTTCATTTAGATTTTCAAATTTTGTGGCATTTAGACTTTTGAAGTAAGTCCTAATGATTGTTTGGATTTCCTCAGTGTCTGTAGTTATGTCCCCCTTTTCATTTCTGATTTTGTTGATTTGGGTGGTGTCTCTCTGCCTTTTAGTTAGCATGGCTAAGAGTTTGTCTATCTTGTTGATTTTCTCAAAGAACCAGCTCTTGGTTTCATTGATTCTTTGAATTGTTTTATTTGTTTCTAATTGATTGATTTCAGCCCTGAGTTTGATTATTTCCAGTTGTCTACTCCTTTTTGATGTGTCTGCTTCTTCTTTTTCTAGAGTTTTAAGGTGAGCCATTAAGTTGCTTGAATGAGCTGTTTTGAATTTCTTCTTAAAGGCACTTAGTGCTATGAACTTTCCTTTTAGCACTGCTTTCACTGTGTCCCACAAGTTTGGGTATGTTGTGCCTTCATCTTCATTGAATTCTGGGAAGACTCTGTTAAATCAGTTAGAAGAAAAAGTGGGGAAGACCCTAGAACTCATTGGTACAAGAGACAACTTCCTGAACAGAGCACCAACAGCACAGGCTCTAAGAGCAACAATCAATAAATGGGACCTCATGAAACTGAAAAGTTTCTGTAAAGCAAAGGACACCATCATCAAAACAAAACGACTGCCTACAGATTGGGAAAGAATCTTCACCAACCCTTTATCTGACAGAGGGCTAATATCCAATATATATAAAGAACTAAAGAAGCTGAAAAGCAGCAAACAAAGTAATCCAATTAAAAAATGGGGAACAGAGCTAAACAGAGAATTCTCTGTAGAGGAATATAGAATGGCAGAGAAACACTTAAAGATATGCTCAACCTCATTGGCCATCAGGGAAATGCAAATCAAAACAACCCTGAGATTTCACCTTACACCCATCAGAATGGCCAAGATCAAAAACTCAAGTGACAACACATGCTGGAGAGGTTGTGGAGAAAGGGGAACCCTCCTCCACTGCTGGTGGGAATGTAAACTCTGGAATGTAAACTCTGGAAATCAATCTGCTGTATTCTCAGACAACTAGGAATAGTGCTTCCTCAAGATCCAGCCATATCACTCCTAGGCATATATCCAAAAGAGGCTCAAGTACACAAAAAGGACATTTGTTCAACCATGTTTGTAGCAGCTTTATTTGTAATAGCCAGAAGCTGGAAACAACCCAGATGCCCCTCAACTGAAGAATGGATACAGAAATTGTGGTACATCTACACAATGGAATATTAAACAGCAATGAAAAATAAAGAAATTATGAAATTTGCAGGTAAATGGTGGGGACTAGAAAGGATCATCCTGAGTGAGCTGTCCTGAAGCAGAAAGACACTCAAGGTATATACTCACTCATATAGACATATAATATAGGACAAACCTACTAAAATCTGTACATCTAAAAAAATTAATCAAGAGGGAGGAGTTTGAATAAAATGCTCAATCCCCATTCTGAAAAGCAAAGAGGATGGACATCAGAAGAAGAAGAAAACAGGAAATAAGTTAGGAACCTGCCACAGAAGACCTCTGAAAGACTCTGCCTTGCAGACTATCAAAGGAGATGCTGAGACTTATGGCCGACTGTTGGGCAGAGTGCCTGGAATCTTATGAAAGAATTGGGAAATAATAAGATCTTGATAGGACAGGAACTCCACAAGGAGAGCAACAGAACAAGAAAATTTGAACACAGTGGTCTTTTCAGAGTCTCATACTCCAACCAAGTACCATGCATGGAGATAACCTAGAAACACTGCACAGATGTAGCCCATGGCAGTTCAGTGTCCAAGTGGATTCCATAGTAATGGAAAGAGGGACTGCCTCTGACATAAACTGATTGGCCTGCTCTTTGATCACCTCCCTCTGAGGGGGGAGCAGCCTTACCAGGCCACAGAAGATGACAATGCAGCCCACTCCTGATGAGATCTGATAGACTAAGATCAGAAGGAAGGTGAGGGGGACCTCCCCTATCAGTGGACTTGGGGAGGGGCATGCATGAAGAAGGGGGAGGGAGGATGGGATCAGGAGGGGAGGAGAGAGGGGCTTATGGGAGGATACAAAGTGAATAAAGTGTAGCTAATAAAAGTTGAAAAAACAGAAAATATAGAACTCATTTCAGCAGCATGATATACAGAAAGTAATGGAAGATGGTATTTCATTGAGTAGCACACTGGGTGGTGAGATAACATTTCTGTTTATTATTATTATTATTATTATTATTATTATTATTATTATTATTATT